ACACAAATAGACTTGTAAATATGAAATTCTTGATATCTGCAATTATTAAATGAAATTTAAGAGACATATGTGCATGTAATTTTCTTACAGGGCTGATGGCAAGATATATATATATATATATATATATATTGCATCACATCTATAGGCAATACTATTTTTTATTTTCGGTATTATATATATGTGACAAGCATGAAAAGTCATCATTTGAAAATTAATTCAATATTCAAATTCTATTAGAATTATTTGAACAAGAAATCGGACCACAGCCAACGTATAAAATAAATGAACTATCTAAATTAGAATATCAGACTCATACAAACTATTCAGAGAGCACATTAAAATTGAATTAATTAGCATAATTTTGAATATTTACGAGTTTAATATTACTAAACTATATTCATTATTCATGCATTTATTAATTTCTTGTTTGTATCTTAAACTTGTTCTAAGGACCTCTTTGTTATAAAATAAGAATGAAAAAAAAAAAGCGTAAATCAGAGAGGAAGGTATAGAGATAGAAAATCTTAAACGATAAATGAAAAGCAAATGAAAGGATTAATTATGCCCGGAAAAAAAAAAAACGAGTGTGTGTTGTGTGTGTTTGAAGAGTAGCTGAAGACAGAAGTTAAAAGTTCAACAATGTCATGAAGGCTATGGAGAAAAAATTGTGGCTGGCTTAAGTAGTGCATCGTCGGTAAACCATTAATAAAATATAGGCTTTTCCATCAGTCAAGGAATCATTTCTATGAATGCCTGCACCCCTCTGTCTATGTATTACCTCCTATCCTAAATATAAGACCTAATTAACTAATTTAAATAAATTAAAAAAATAAATTAAGTTAGTTATTTGTAATAAATAAGTATTGTTTTTCCTAAGATATCCTTGTTAATCAAGTTTATTGGCTAGAATTATTATTATTAGAAGGAGTATCTTGAAAAAAAATGAATAAATTTAAAAGACAAAGTGAATTTGGGTCTTATATTTTGAATCAAAATAAAATTCAAACAAAATCTTATATTAAAGACGGAAGGTAGTATTGTTTATAAACATAATAAGGAAGGCATCACCACACATATAACAACAATAACAATAATAAAATAATATTTGTCCTGTCTTTAATATAAGACTTTATTATTAATTTAATTTAAATCCTAAATATAAGGCCTATTTTTATATTTATTAATTTTTTCTAAATTACCCCTATTGATACTTTCTCAACCATAATCAAATAGAAGAGAGATAGAGGATATTAAGGAAGACGATTAGGGTATTTAGAAAAAAAATATGTCATATTTTTTGCAATTAATTAACTTACCTAACTTTTTTAATTTAATCAAATTAGTTAAATATGTCTTATATAAGTATCGGAGAAGTCCAATGAATAGCAATTTGAATATGACAATATGAGGCCAAAAATTTTCAAATTTATCAATAATTAAGGACATCAACATTTAGTAATGCGTGCGTGCCAATAGTTTTGCATCCCAATAGAACATAATCCTTTTATTAGTGGGATGTTGCGAGCTCAATCCTATCTATAATTTTAAACTGTTAGTATCTAATCTTTTAATTCAGAAATAAAAATACTAGTGATAATAACGTATGTAAAGGAAACAAGTTGCAGCGTATGGTGTGAGTGATCAAAGAAACCATGATTATACATCACTATGGAAATTTTGAGAATGGATTTTAATGGTTGAGTGATTAATATACAATTACACTTGTGGATGGAATAATTGGAATTGGATTGAGCATGCAACAGAAGATTTCCCCAGTGTTCACTTCATTTTAGTGGTGCTTTATGATGTTTTTATACAGATACTACCTCCTCCCCTTAATATAAAATATATTTAATTAATTTGGATAAATTAAGAAAAATATTTAAGTTAGTTATTTGTAAAAAAAAATATGTGTTGATTTTCTAAAATATTTGATTAAATAATTTGGATTGAAACAACTTTTTGATGCAAATTCTCTTAAGATATACACTCAATAAGATTATTTTGAATAAATAAGAGGGACAAAATGAATTGAAATATTATATTTATGATCAAATTCAAATGCCATACTAGCTCTCGTATTAAAAATAGGAGGTGGTATTATACATATGCCATCTCTTGGTTCTAACTCAAATAATCAAAATCAATATACACTCTCTTGTCTAAAATACAAGAAGTCTTCTAAAAAAAATTTTGATACAAAATATAAGAGGTTGACATATCAATTAATGATGGTTTTCACTTTTATCGCTTGTTACAAGGGGGAGAATTTTAAACGCAAGAAAAATGAAAAAAAAATTTAATCACATTCTTTAATAAGTTTGCAAGAAAACTTAACAAACCTCTTATATTATGGACTATAGAAAATACTACCTCCAGTCCTAATTATAAAAGCTAGTTGACTAATTTGAAGATATTAAGGAAAGAAGTTAAGTTAGTTATTTGTAATAAATATGTATTGTCTTTTCTAAATATCCTTGCTAATCAAATGTATTGGCTAAAACTATTATTGTTAGAAGGATTACCTTGAAAAAAAATATATAAATATGAGAGACAAAGTGGATTGGAGTCTTATATTTAAGACCAAAATAAAAGTCAAACAAGTTCTTATATTAAGAACCGGAAATAATATATAATTAAACATTACTTTTGATTTTTAATATAAAATTTAGTTTGCAGTTCAAATCAAACTACAAAAACTAATACATCCGTTAGCTTTAAATATAAAAACTAGTATATGTATTTGTTTTGATACTAAACATAAGATCATACTTCAATTCACTTTAAAAATATAGTTATAAAGATTAGTTTATCATATCTTATATTATGAATATAAAATACTCTTCTGGGCCTAAATATAAGACTCTTATACTGTCTTATACTAAGACAGTATAAGAGTCTTATATTTAGGATTAGTGGAGTAGTATTTTTTTTTTTGGTTGAATACAAGAAATACTTGGGGCAGGATCAAAACCGTAAAAGGGCGACTTCAAAGCCACTATTGGCTGAGGTAGTATATTGTCAACGAGTTTTTTGGTTGTTGGAATTTTTGGATTAGGCTGCCCAATTAAACTGATAGGGTAACCCATCGTCTTCTTTTCTCTCTATCACACACAGTTATAACAAGGAAGGAGTATTAAATAGGAAAATTTTCCAAAATAATATCTATTAAATTTTAAAATTATAAACTAGTTTTATTTATTACACTCTAATAATAATAACAGTTATTTGAAAAGTAAATACAAATTGAAATTCAACGGGCTTTTTTTTGTCCTGGGAGTTGATTACGTGGAGAGAAAATTGCCATAAGGTCTCGTGTAAGAGAATTAAATACAAAAAAATCTTTTCAAATCATCAAATTAATCTGAAGTCTTAAGGTTTGTTTGGCTCAATGAGAGAAAGGGGAGGGGAGGGATTTTAATAGAAGGAATAGGAGGGGAGGAGAGTGGAAGGATTTTAATATTACCTTATTTGGATTTATAAAAAAGGAGGGAGAGGTTTTAATATTATCTTGTTTGATTCATGAGGAGAGAGGAGGAAAAAATATTTCAAAATGGACAATTTTGTCCTTATTTTATTTAAGATTATTTTTTCAAATTTAAGATTTAGGGTCGTATAGTGATATTAAAAATAAATATAGGCATAATGGTTATAATATGACAAAATATTACCCTTTCCCTCCAAATCTTTCCAATTTTGGAGAGAAGGTTGAGGAGGGGAGGAGAGGGAAAATTTTAACCTAAAATTTATGTGTTGCCAAACAAGGAAAAATTATTAAAATCCTTCCCTCTCCCTCCCCTCCAAATCTCTTATACCAAACGCACCCTTATGCTGTGTTTGGTTCGACGGTGGGAAGGGGAGGGGAGGGATTTTAATCAAGGGAAGAGGAGGGGAGGAAAGGGTGGGTAACTACAAAAGGGAGGGGAGGGAGGGGGAAGGGAGGGAAGGGATTTTAATGATCTCTTATTTGAATTGATTGGAGGGGAGAGGAGGGAGCAATTTTAATAATACTTTATTTTGTTCTAATAAAAAATTGACTATTTTAATATCATAAAATTTAAATGAATTTTCTCACTTTTTTATTTTGTTAAGATATAACTATATATATAATGCAATTCACTAATTTTGATTTACAAGACAAAGTTACACACTTATAAGATATCCATATAAAAAGTTGAGTGATAGATTTCAATTAGAGAAATGACCTTGAAGGTGAAAGAAAATACCAACGGCCTCTTGGAATTAGAAGAAGAGGGAAGAAAAAAAGGTTTACAAATACCCCCTAATTTTGGAGACAATTATCTCAACAGAAATCTTTTGTGTAGAAATGTTTACGACTAATTAGGGGTTAACAAATCGAAAGGGTGTATAAGAAATTAAAATATTATTTCTCATCTCTCTTCCAAAAAACCCTACTTTTAGAGGGGAGGCAAGAGAGGGAGAGGAGCGGAGAAGAGCCCTTCCCTCTTTAAAAAATATCTTAACCAAATGAGGGCTCCTCTCCCCTCCTAAAAAATTGCCCTAGCCAAACAAAAGGAAGGGAGCAACTTCCCTCCCCTCTCTTCTGAAAACCCCGTACCAAACATAGTGTTAGGGGATTTCATTACAAGATATTTCATTTGTTTAATTATTACATTGCTCTTATTTTTTTTAACAACCAAAAGAACAGTTGTAAACAACTTAAAGTGTAACGAATATCTATAATTCATGTATTACATTTTTGTGATGTGTCGAGAAAATAAGTTGTCAATACTTATTGTGATAGTTGTTAATCATTACACCTTAAATTGTTAATAACTACTTTTTCAATTATCAATACATATTAAAAAAAGATAAAGATAATTTAGTAATTAAACAAGTGTAATCTTTTGTAATAAGGTCACTTAGAACTTCATATTAATTCATGCCAAAAAAAAATTCATATTAATTTATTGATTTTAAAAAACTTTTTTATATTTAATTCTATTTTCCCTTATCTCTGAGCCAAAAGCCGGTGCGCATTCCCCTCTACTCCGTCGTAAATCAGTAATTGCATCTCCGAGATTCCACAACTCGCTGTAAGAAACTGAGAATTTAAAACCGCCGATAGTAGTACGGCGTCTTTGTTCGTCCTTCCATTGCGGAAACTTGTAGAATTTGCAGCACAATTCATGGCTTCTTCACTCTGTTGTCCGCTGCCACTTGGAATCCCCCTTGCACATTACAAGCCTCCATCGAGGCTACCAGTTCCATCTCTGGCTGTGGCCGCTTCTTCGGACCCTATCGTCACTTCCAGTTCATCTGGAGAATCAACAAGATTGATCACGTTTCTCGGAAAAGGTGGCTCTGGCAAGACCACCTCTGCCATTTTTGCCGCTCAGGTTCGATTTATGTTGTGAGCTGCAATTTTGAGAATGATTCTGAGTTGTAATTAACACTATTGCGATTTCAGATTGACTTTTACTGCGGCAATTAGTTTATCAGGAACCTTGGCATTCCTAGAGAATGTAGTTAAGTTTAGGAGGGTTTATGAACCCAGAATGCAGAAGTCGTCCCTTAGTCAGATTCTAGTGTGAATTTTGGGCGGGCTGCTGTTGGAAATTTCTAAACTATTGTTAGTACTTGTTGCCCATGCAATGCACTGTTCGACACAAAATTCGGACACGGTGGCCCTATTGAGAATGCTGAGAATGGGCGAATTGATATAGGGGGTTTAAAGGCAGTCATAGAAAAATGCCAGCTGTTAGCGACATTGTGAGGACAAGTATCAAGTTGGGATCTTTGCAATTCTTTAACGTTGCTGCTTTTTTTATTTCTTTGATAAAGGGAGGAGCCCTTTTGAAACCATTTATGATTTTCGATGTAGCTGGAATTTTGCTTTTTGAGTGTGGATTTGAAGCTTGTTCAAACAAGGACTTCACACTGCTGTGACGATCCACTATTTGTTATCTATAAATTGCCCCACTGCCTGTCCATCGCCAAATAACCTTTTCTATACTATATTTGGAACCGTGAATGGAGATATTTTTTAGTGGATCCAAAATATGAAAGAACACAATATCTAAGATAGTTCTCCATGATTATCTTCATTTTACTCATCTCTTTCTATATCTATTGGAGGCCTCAGAACTAAAAATTCGGTCTTTTGCTATAAGTGTGCTGTTTTAATGAAATTCAAACTCTTCCGTGTTGGCAAAGGAAATGTAGCTAATCTGTCTCTTCATGTCTTCATGTGTTTTCAGCATTATGCAATGGCGGGACTAAATACATGCTTAGTTGTACATAGCCAAGACACCACCGCTGATTATCTCCTCAACTGTAAGATTGGAAATTCCCAAGTTGAATGCGACACGAACCTTTCAGCTGTTAGGTTGGAGACAACTAAAGTGTGTCTTTTGCTCCTCTTCCTTCCTTTACATATGTCATCTCGTTAATTTATTTGTTTTGATGACTTTGGACTCTGGTCTTGGTTTATTAGCGCAGATGCTTCTTGAACCTCTAAATCGTTTGAAGCAAGCTGATGCCAAGCTTAATTTGACACAAGGCTCTCTCGGAGGGGTGGGTATGTAATATTTTTTTTTTAAACTAAAATTATGTCTTTATATTTGATGAACGTGATTTTCATTTATTAATTACTTTTTTGGTGGAACAATCTTCTGCTCCTTTGTTTCTATTATACTAGATCGTTGGAGAAGAGCTTGGTGTCCTGCCTGGGATGGACTCAATATTTTTGGCACTTTCACTTGAGAGGCTTGTTGGATTCTTGGGGACTACTGCACCAAAGAACCAACCCAAAAAATTTGATATCGTAATATATGATGGTAGCAGCAGCGATGAAACCCTGCGTATGATGGGTGCAACCAGCAAAGCAAGGTTTGGAATCCCACCCCCCCTTCTTCGGGCAGGGGTGTGCACACACAACACTCAGCCTCTGTTCATTACCTTCGGTTTGATATTTTGAGGTTGCAGGTTGTACTTGAAATACTTGCGCAACTTGGCTGAGAAAACTGACCTTGGGAGATTGGCTGCTCCTTCACTTCTGGGACTTGTGGATGAGGCCATGAGCATTAGTGGCAACAGACCATATTTTGATGGGAAAATGAGTGCTGAAATATGGGACTCACTGGATGAGCTGCTGGCGGTAAGTTATAAGAGTGAACGTTATCTAATTCACTTTCACATTGATGCAACACCAGTATTGATTATGCCATGTCCAGAGAGGATCCTTTGCCTTCCTAAACCCACAGAGATTTGGTTGCTTCCTTGCGATGGATCCAAACAATCCAACCTCTGATAGTTCTGCATTACGATATTGGGGTTGTACGATCCAAGCTGGTGGACAGGTTTCTGGTGCTTTTGGTGTCACCTCTCAGCAGCTGGATGTAGATTCAATGGATAGAGTAAAGAAAAATTTTTCGCCCTTGCCTTCTGCTTTCATTTCAAGCACGTTGATGAATAGCCCCATAGCGTGGAACAGAATTCTGATGGACCCGGCCAATGAAGAGGCCAGGCATATTCTTACATCATTTGCAAGCCAATGCAGCACTATTACGTCATCAGTTAAATTTGATTCAAAGAGAAAAGTAGTAACTCTCTTCATGCCAGGTTTTGACAAGTCAGAGATCAAGCTATACCAAGTATGTGATATTTTTAAAATCCTATCGTGATCACAATTTCCACTTTCTTCATGCCGGGTTTCAAAACATTTTTTGGTTTTTTTTGGTAATTGCATGGGAAAGGACGATGATAAAGAATGATAAGAAAGTAAAACCTCAAGATCAGTTTTTACTTATCCCAGTTGATACGTGGCAGAAGCATCAAAACCAGTGGCCAAACTATTTTTCCTATTACTCCTATGGCTAATTCCCAAATTACCCTTAATTCCCGTGTATCAGAGGATGATAAAAAAAATGATAGGAGAGTAAAGACATCCATCCACGAGCTTTTCTGTCTCCGTGGTTAATGAGGAATGCTTTCTGAACCATGGACATCTCTTCAGAAGAATAAATGCCTTGAGTTCAAATGATAACAAAATGTAGTTATGTTGTGACTCTCATCCTGATATAAATCTCTTCACTACATGGTTGAAGTGTGCAAATAGTCATGCTGCTGAATTGCTAATTGCATAGGTTTGTTTTATGTATGCAGTATAGAGGAGGGTCTGAACTATTGGTAGAGGCAGGGGACCAAAGACGCGCCATTGCTCTGCCACCAGAAATTCAAGGAAAGGTTGGTGGAGCAAAATTCATGGACAGAAATCTGGTAGTTACATTGCTCTGACTTCTCAAGTGATCTTTCCTTTTCTTTTTTTCCTCTCTCACCCATAATCCCGAGAAAATGCTTTATGTTTGTTGATGATTAAGTGATCATGCCAAGGAATAAGAGCCCGCTGATATTTTATCTGATTGAATGAGTTCAGCCAGATTTTGTTTTTTAATGGTCTTCAAATTCAAACTTCTGTCTTGTTAATTATTCAAAAATAAAATAAATTGATAATCTTAGCTTAATTAATTACTGCAGCTGTCTCGTGCCTATGTCTTTTGAGCAGCGTTGAGATTATTAGTGTCCAAGCAAATAACATATATATAGATTATCAGTCCCTTAACATGACAAGTGTCATTTATTAATGTAACTAAATAAGACATAAAGGTGGTGACAATGACTAATAAAACAAGGGTTAAGGTTCTTAATTGCCCCGGAAGTTTTCCCCGAGGAGCACTCAGCACCCGGAAGTTTTTGTTTGTTCTTAAATATCCCGGAAGTAATTTATCGTAGCAATTATGCCCCGAGTTAACGTTCAGGCAAACGGACGTTTGTAAATGACACGGTGTCGAGAAGATGGACGACACGTTGGTGAATGAGATGGTGACGTGGTATTGTTGTGTCGACAAAATAAAAGTTGATGCTGAAGGTCAATGTTGTCATCGAAGGTTGCTTTTGTCGTCGACATTGAGAGCTAGGGCAAAGCAAAGCGAGGTGGGGCGCATGTGAAGTCTGAGAAGAGGACAAAGCAGAGAAGACTAAAGATCAGTTCTCGAATATGTATTCAAGAAGACCAGTTCTCAAATACGTATTCGAGAAGACCATTTCTCAAATACGTATTCGAGAAGACCATTTCTCTAATATATATTCAAGAATATATTCAAGAATATAGTTGAAATAAAGCTTTGAGTTAGAATGGTGTTATCAAAGGATGCGTGTGATGTGCGACAGTAGAAGACACAAAGGATACGTGGGATGTGCGACAGTAGAAGACACAAAGCTATTTATATTGATTAATATTGATTAGTCGATGAGGGTATTTATCGTTTAACAAATCGATAAATAAGGATTTGAATTGTTTCTTTTACTTATCGAAGTCCTTATCGATAAATACCATTTATCGATAACCTTATCGGACAAAAGTTTATGAAATTGGCTCAATTATATCGAGTAGCTTATCGATAAGTTCATTTATCAAACAGCTTATCGATAAATGACCACCATTTATTAACTTTGCTACATCAGTGTTATTTGGCTCTCCAACATTTACAGAACATACATCCAAAAAAACAATAGACTGGTACAGCTAGAACCAAAAGAGAACAAGGCCAAGTACAAATACACCTTCCTAAATCCTAAGAAGTGCCATCTAAATACGCCAAATACACTAAACAGTGCTATCTAAATCCCCTAAATAGCAGACTGGTACAAATAATATAGCTATTCCCTTCCTCTCCTTGCATCGAACTTCCTTCGGCTAGAAGAGGCAATTACTGTGTGGTCCCTGTGAGCTAGGAGTTGTGAGGTGGTTGAGGCTGGTTGTCCTGACCACATTAGTCCTGGAGGAGTGAATGGTAGGTTAGAAGGAGTGGAAGTAATTGCTCCATCATCTCGATACTGGATTCTACGGGAGCCACAACCCTAAACTAATTTAAAAAAAAGAAAATTACTTCGCCACACCGGATTTGAAAATAAGAACCTAATGACGAGGATCTAATATTCCATACCTTTTCAATCCGGTCGAATCTCTGCTCTGTCCTCTTCTCAGACTTCACATGCGCCCCACCTCACTTTGCTTTACCCTAGCTCTCAGTGTCGACGACAAGAGTGACCTTCGATGACAACATTGACCTTCGGCATCAACTTTTATTTTGTCAACACAACAGTGCCACGTCACCATCTCATTCACCAACGTGTCGTCCATCTTCTCGACACCGTGTCATTTACAGATGTCCGTTTGCCTGAACGTTAACTCGGGGCATAATTGTTACGATAAATTACTTCCGGGATATTTAAGAACAAACAAAAACTTTTGGGTGCTGAGTGCTCATCGGGGAAAACTTCCGGGGCAATTAAGAACCTTAACCCATAAAACAAAATTGAAAAAATAAGGCTTTGTTTGGTCCAAAAAAAAAACGAGGCTTTGTCATATTGCATATTTTTCAATGGTCCCAGGCAACATAAATATATTATATACAGATATATTTATTTTCATCATGTTATTTTAATTTTGTGAGACATTTGATATCGTCTATTTTGAATATTGTAATGTAATGAGAGTATTTTATAAGCAAAGGGTCGTTTTGTATTGAATTTTTTAAAAAATACAATTAAAAATAATCTGGGTAATTTATTCCGATCTTCCCTTTAAACAAACGGGAAGCTGCAACAAAAATCAAAATTCCGGCTAAATGCATTTGTAGGCAAAGATTTATATATTTATTCTGAAAGCAAATATACATCTTTTACAACTCAACATTTGACTAGGTGTGCGTATATATATCATACACTTCCATTAATGAACTAAGCAGAAAAAAAAAAAATACAATCCTGGGTTTTTAAAAAAAAAAAAAAAAAAAAAATACAATGGAATGCACCTAAATAATTATGTAAGTTATTTATAGGATGGGATTTACAAGGATGATGGGGAGGTTAGTTAATTTTGAATGAAAATTGGGAAGATAATTAATGATTATATATGCCATTTTTTTTGGGGGGTTTGTCCCTCACTTTTTGTCAATACATAATGGGTTATAGATTTTGTGACATTTAGCAGTTCATTTTTTCTTTTTTGCCTGAGACATTTAGCAGTTCATACTTCATGAGGCATCCAAAGTTCCACTTCAGGTCTTCAACTAGAGATACTTTCATAACCCGCCACAACAAAGAAATTAATTAAAAGATCGTGCACACACAAATGAACAAGAATGATCCTTTTATATATATACTATCTCCGGTGCTTAATATAAAATCTTGTTTGATTTTTATTTTGATTTTAAATATAAGACTCCAATCTAATTTGTCTTTCATATTTATTCATATTTTTCCTAAGGTAATTTTTGTAAAAATGATAATTCTAGTCAATACACTTTATTAACAAGGATATTTTCAGAAAAACAATACTTATTTATTACAAATAACTAACTTAACTAGCTTTCATAATCTATTTAAATTAGTCAACTTGCTCTTGTATTAAACACCAGAGGTGGTGTGTGTATATATCTGAGCTTCTAGAAGCTAAACTCACCTGAAAATAATAGAGAAATGGAGAGTTGTTGGGGAGAATATTTCAAGATGGGGAAATGCGAAGGAGAGGAGGTGGTGGATGGAGAAATCATGCCTCTGGTGTTACAACCTGCGGATGAGGAGAATAAGAACGACCTGAAGACGTTGGTGTCGGCGGTGAAGAAGAACAAGCAATGGTTGGAGGAGATGATAGAGAAGAAGAGTGCGGTTCTGGTTTGAGGGTTCCGAGTGAAGAACGCTGAGCACTTCAACCAAATCATCGAAACCTTTGGCTGGGAAGACATTCGCTACGTGGGACCCGCACCTCGTACCCACGTTTACAAGAGTCTGGACTGCCAATGAAGGTCCCCTCTCTCAGTTCATCTACTTCCACCATGAGGTGGTTCTGGTACATCAACACACACACACACACACACGTCTCTGTCTCCTTCTTTGTTTCTGGTTAATTTAGATTTCAGTTTGTACATTAATGAGATGAAGGAATATATCCGAAGAAAGTGATACTGTTCTGTGAGGTGGCGCCACCAGAAGGAGGAGAGACGCCATTTGTTCCGAGCTTCAAAGTTACAGAGAGGATGGTGGAGGAGTTTCCAGAAGCAGTGGAAGAGATGGAGAAGAAGGGTCTCACTTACTCTTTCACTGCTCTCAGTAAGAATGACACTTCCTCCATGAGAGGACGCGGCTGGCACGATGCTTTCGCAACTTCTGATCCCAAGCTGGCTGAGATCAGGTAGCCTCCTTTACAACCTAACAAAATACTTATTACTACTTCCGTCCTAATTACTAGCAAATCCAACATGTTTTCTCATGTAGCTAAGAAAGAAAGGCTAGGGTAAAATATTGAATATGCCGAGACAATCAATTGTGCTCTGGCCTCCTGTATTATATATATCAGAAAGAATAGAGAATCTTCGTACAATACAAAGGGAATATTACAAATGAATAAAAGAGAGCCCTACACGTGTTGAACTATACAGCTGTATATGATAAGCTTAAAACTATACAAATAATATTTATATTAATGTTCTAACATTCCCCCTCAAACGAGAGGGTGTCTTCGACAGTCCGAGTTTGTTTCTGAAATCAGAAATATTGAGAGTGAGACAATGCTTTTGTTAGGCAATCAGCAACTTGATGTGAAGAGGGTACATATCGAACATCCAGAAAGCCAGAAAGAACTAGATCTCTAATAAAGTGAATATCAATTTCTATGTGTTTGCTTCTTGCATGATGAACTGGGTTTGCTGCAAGTGCTCTGGCACTAAGATTATCACACCAAACTATCGAAGGCTGTTTTATCCTGAGTCCAAGTTCACACAATAATGAACTTAACCATTTAATTTCAGCTGCACCATCAGCGAGTGCCCTATACTCAGATTTTGTGCTAGATCTAGACACAACCCGTTGCTTACGAGACATCCAAGAAACCAGTGTTCCACCAAAGTACACACACACTCCAGCCATGGATTTTCTATCATCAACATCGGTAGCCCAGTCTGCATCTGTAAAGGCCACTAACTGAGGAGAAGAAATAGGCTTAATGTTTAAACCGAGATAATGAGTCCCTTTGAGATATCGTAAAATTCTCTTTACTCCTTGAAAATGAACATCAGTTGGCTTTGACATA